TCCCTCAGCTAATCTATAAACATCATGTTAGTAAGGACCTCTTACTAAATGTTGTGTTCTCAGCAGAGTAAGTATGAAGTTCTTGGCACATAGAAAATGCAAAGTAAATGTGTTTCGTATGGCTAAAGATACAAAGCTAAGAAAATAATTTTAAAATCACATCATAGGAAGATAAATTCTACAAGCACATAATGGTTGATTTTTAAAACCTGTGTATTTTGTCCAGAATCAAGTGTGTGTGGGCATATGTATATGTCTATTTGTCATGTCCCAGCTCAAATCTTGGGCAAGTTAATTTGCTCTCATAAACTTCAGTTTCCATCTCTCTAAAACTGTGTCAAAATGATTAATAATATTATCTGCTTTATAGGATTATTGGCAGGTTAACTCATTTGATGCCTATAATGAGGGCATTTAGCAAGGTGCTTGTATTAAGTTCCTATTGCTCCAGGAACAAATTGTCACATACTTGGTAGCTTAAACAGATAGTACAAATTTATTATCTTAGAGTGAAGGTCAGAAGTTCAAAATAGGTCTCACTGGGCAAAATTTAGGTGTTCCTTCTGCAGACTCTAAGGGACAATCTATTTTCTTACTTTTTCTGGCTTCTAGGGCTTCCTGCATTCTTTGGATTGTGGCTCCTTCCATCTTCAAAACAAGCAATGGTCTACTGAGTTTTTCTCACAGTTCTTGACCCTGACACATACTCTCTTATCTCCCTCTTAAGCTTATAAAGAAGCTTTTGGTTGCATTGGGCTCACCTGAATAATTTAGGATAGCCTCTTCATCTCAAAATTCTCACTTTGAACACATCTGCAACTTCCCTTTCACCATGTAAGGTATGTAAAGCTGCATATTCACAGGTTCTAGTAATTGGGAAGTGGCATCTCTGGGGGAGCATTATTCTGCCCACCACAGTGCTCAATCTCTTCATTATAAGGAATCAGTAAAGTCTGACACTTACTATTAGAATTATGTACTATTTCTTAAATATCATCCAATTGTTGTTTTTGCTATAGAGCTGAAACACTTTCAAGCCAGACAATCTCAATACAATGTGTCTTTCTATTAATAATTTAGCATGAAAAAGCCATGCTCCAAATGTGGGCTAGTCATTTGGAGATGAAATGACTGAAAATTAGTCATTTTGTGACACTGGGATCCACTTACAGTAAAAGGAAATTGACATTTATCTAAAATTACCTTAGCAGCCCTAAGGAAGACAGTTTTGTTGTCATTACCATCAATGTGTAGTAATGACTAACAGTTACGGAGAATTTAGTGCCGAGAGCCATTCAAAGTGTTTATATAGGTACTGACTGATTTGATCCCAATGTTGTAGGACTTTCTCCTTAGTTCAGCTAAAAGCTGGGTTCTTATTACACAGCCATGAAACATTAGGCTCACAGACACTTTGAAGGGTGAGAAAAACGAAATTTATTGAGCGAAAAGGAAAAAAAAAAAAGGGAAACAGGGACTCTCAGCAAAGCGAGAGTCCTGCTAGCTGGTTTCCACCTCACAAATTGAGTCTCAGGTACAACCCGAAACGGGAGAGGCCAGGCTCCTCCTCCTTGCAGACGGTGCAAACCTCCTGAGGCTCCTGAGTGCACATGGCCCGTCAGAGGTTCTGCCGGGAAACCATTTTTTTTTTTTTGAGACGGAGTTTTCGCTCTTGTTACCCAGGCTGGAGTGCAATGGCGCGATCTCGGCTCACAGCAACCTCAGCCTCCTGGGTTCAAGCAATTCTCCCGCCTCAGCCTCTCGAGTAGCTGGGATTACAGGCACGCGCCACCATGCCAAGCTAATTTTTTTGTATTTTTAGTAGAGACGGGGTTTCACCATGTTGACCAGGATGGTCTCGATCTCTTGACCTCGTGATCTACCCGCCTCGGCCTCCCAAAGTGCTGGGATTACAGGCTTGAGCCACCGCGCCCGGCCTGGGAACCATTTTTACTTAGCTGTCTCACCACAGCCAGCCTCATGAGGAGGTATTTTATTTTTCCTTCTTTTATGGCAATTGAGACTGTCCAAAGTTTCAGGGCATGTGGTAGAGACGGGATTTAAACTGAGGTGGTCAGGCTATAGAACCTGTACTTTTAACCATAGCACAATAAGCACAGAAACGTAGAAAAGAATGGTGCGATATTAGAAGAAGAATCACTCTACTTTGGGCTAAGAGCTCCTAGCATTTTTATAGCTCATCATGGTACAGGTTGAAAGCATTTAGTTTTATTGAATCTAATTCTTGTGCTTAAAAAAAAATGCACAGTAGACAACCAGCTGTGTTGGGAGTTGGTCAGCTTCCAGAGATACTTGAAAACAAATTGTCCAGTGAGTTCAGGTTTTTAAAGACATGTCCTTCAAGTTTATTCTTTCTATCTCTTTTTCTCCCCCCAAAATATAAAAACATTAACTACAGTTACTCTCATATATTATCTTTTTATTCTGCCAAAGTGCTTTCAATACACAGAGTTTAAAAGAAGGAAGCTGCCTTTTTAAAAGTAAGTTGTTATCCAAGTCAATGTTTTCTTAAAAATGTCCATGTTTCAGAGGACTTCTTAGGACAAACAGATGTTACAAACACTTCATTTTGAATTATTATTATTATTTTTTGAGACAGAGTTTCACTCTCGTTGCCCAGGCCGGAGTGCAATGGTGCAATCTCGGCTCACTGCAACCTCCACCTCTAGGGTTCAAGCAATTCTCCTGCCCCAGCCTCCCTAGTAGCTGAGATTACAGGTGTCCGCCATCACACCCCGCTATTTTTTTTTTTTTTTTTTTTGTATTTTTAGTTCAAACTCCTGACCTCGGGTGGTTTGCTTGCCTCAGCGTCCCAAAGTGCTGGGATTACAGGTGTGAGTCATGGTGCCTGGTCCTACAGGTGTGAGCCATGGCGCCCAGCCAGATCTTAAGAACACTTTAAACACTGCTTGGCTAAAATATAGAGGAAAAGTTAAAATGATAAAGGAAAGATTATTAATGTGGCTAATTATTACCAAAAAAGTTAGGAACTATTGTTGAAACATTTTATATGCCAGAGAACTCATTTTAAGGAAATTATTCCAGGGTACAACTGTGAGCAATTGGCATTTGCTCAAAGTATGTTGACAGAACTGGATGCTTACTCATAGGTTCAGGAAGATAAATAAATTAACTTAATGGGCCTATATGTTCATTACAACCACATTAGCATAAATACCACCTTATGTAAAAAAAATCTCTTTATGCCAAAAATAAGCAAGGAAGAGAGCAATTAAGAAATGGATGTAAATAAAATGATAGGTAATTGATTAGTAAACTCTCTGTATGGATGAAATACATTTCCTATAGTAGTTAAGCCTACCACATACATTTGATTAGGATGAATTCCAAATAATTTTTGAAAATCAATAGTAATTAAGTGAATTCCTTCATTCACCTACTGCATTTGACTTTTAGTCATGATAACACTGATGGGTTGGAGAGCATGTTACCTGCAATATGTGGTCACGATTTAGTTTTTATGCTTCAATGTTTTATTTAGAATCTTTTGGCAGATGAAGCTGTTGACCTTCGTTAGCTAGAAACAGCTGCTTTTCTATTTTTATTTGTAGTTAATGTTTTCCAAGTGTCAAGCATATGTAGAGAAATTTTTTCCATAGACTGATATTAAACATTTTATTTATATATTTTTTATTTTTGATGGTCCTTGGGACTATTTAGAAAAGTGAGAGCCAGTTGGAGCATTCACTGTAAATGCTTTCAGAAAAGAAAATCTCCCTTTGGTATTTCCATGGATGGGTCAATATCACATTCATTTATTTTCGTGGCATGCTCAAGTACAGTGTGATATTCTGGAAACACAATCTGCTGTCTGTTTTGACTGAGTTAAAAATACATGATCTCTTTTAAAGTTTTAAATTGTTTCTTCCTAAAGACAAAGCAAGGTAGTTTTCAATAATCTTAGGTTTGGTTCTTTGTTTTGTCACTGAATGGATACTTGAGAAAGTCATCAGTTGATAATCTTAGTTTGAAGAGTATGGAAAACCAAACATTGTGTGTTCTCACTCATAAGTGGGAGCTACGCTATGAGGATACAAAGGCATAAGAATGACACAATGAACTCTGGGGACTCAGGGGGAAGGTATGGAAGGGGGTGAGGGATAAAAGACTTACAAGTTGGGTGCAGTGTACACTGCTCGTGGCATGTGCTAAATTTTGCATGGTGTGTGGGTGTGCCAAAGTCTCACAAATCACTGCTAAAGAACTTACGTAACCAAACACCACCCATTCCCCAATAACCTATGGAAGTTAATTTTTTAAAATGAGTATTTCTTATTTCATATACTTACATTTTTATTTTCTGGTTGAAGATGGAGATAATTTAGTTTCTTCTTTTAGTTTGTGCTGTAACTAGAGGTTTTTTTTGTTGTTGTTGTTCCTATGATAGAAGTTTTGGTAAATGTATGAGCCCTCTTATTTTCTATTTGCGTGTTATGCATAGTTTACTGAAAATTAGTGCAAAATGTGGGAAAATTTAAAGCTGAAGGCAAGCCCCACCGTGTCCTTTGATGATGGATACAGAGATAGGTAGAGCACATGTCTTGGGTCCTGAGTAGCATACAATGACCAGTGAGATTAAGAAACAGAGGAAGCAGGAAGAGAATGCTGTGAGATTTACCACATTTTATTTGTGATAAGTCTCAGGTAAGATAGAATTGCCCTAAATTCTTGAAGCACCAGGAAATCTTGATAGGAGACTCAGTTTCTAAACCATAAGCACTTGAGGAAGCCATGTTTCCTCACAGGGCTGTGTGATTCGTGCTGGAAAAGAAACTCTTGGTTTTGCGATTGTTGACCCCAAGAAGGAGGTCATTGCTGTGGCTTTCATCTTTGTCTTTGTGTTTACCTGGTTAGAATGACATATGGGAAAGTAGCTCTAGAGTTTTCTTAATGATTTTTTAAAATAGATACTTATAGTAATGTTTCAAAAATATGCACTTCTTTTTTTTGTCTTTCAGGAACATTACAAAAAGCCTATTTTAAATCAAATGGGAGTGAACCTTTGGTCACTGATGGTGAAGTACAAAGGTCCGATATTATTCTTATAAACACAGTTTATAACCAGAGCACTTTGGTGTCTACTGCACATCCCGAACAGCACATTCCAGCCTGGACTACAGATGTTTCTCTCCCAAAGGACCAAAGTCACAGGAATACAAGTAAGTCCAAAAGTGACACATGCTAGAGGCTTTTAATGTTCCACAGGTAGGTTTTTAAGTTTGGCAACCAGTGCTTTCAATTACAATCATGTGTCAGTCACACAGGAAAATCTCCACTCAGTTTGAAACAGTGGAATCCAAACTGTCTCTTTTGGATTGGAGAAATAGAATCATCCTGCTGTTCCTCAAACACTGGCAAACATATACTGTGATAGCTAAAAGTCAACTTAATCCTTCTTTTCCTGGCTCAAAATAAAAATGAATACACTGTCTCAGACCTAAGATTTGATATCCCTTTGTTACCCGGTAAGCCTACCCTAGTGCCCTATTCTTAAACATGAAAAGCCCAGATGTTCAGGTAGGAACTGAGTAAGAAATGAAAATGTATCAATGCTGTTCAATATTTCTGAGGTCTGAAAATTTATGCTTCTTGCCCTAATATAGTGGTATTGATTTTGTAGTGGTTCATCTGTGAAAGTTTGTGCTTCAGTTTTAAGTTACTTATTTTGAGACAGTTGATAAGTAAGTTAACTCACTGACTGTTGTTGGTCCCTTGCAGGAGGACCAATTAATTCAATAACAGGATGCTGAGTGATTTAATGGGAGCTATTCCCCTATTTACTTTTGAGATGTTCATGTGTTTTTTTTTCTTGCTTCCCTCTTCGCCTTCTATCACTGGCTGTAAAATTTATTTTACATGTAGGTGAATGACAAAAAAAATCACACCTTGAGAAAAATGGCATGTGCCAAACTCTTCTGCATGAGGGCAAGGGAATGATTTGTTAGTTATTCTAGAAGAAGAACTGGCAGAGAGAAAAGACAGAAAGCGTGGACATGGGTCATGATGAGATGGTGAGAGCTGGCGGATGACATGCTCTGGAATGTGACTGTACCTTTTGATTAAGTTACTATTGCCCTTCCAGAATACTCGGTGGGAGTGGATTTGTGTGGAAAATTCCAAGAGGCTTAGCTCTGATACAACCAATGCTAATAAAAGATAATCAGAGCACAGTACAGCCACTGCCAGAATTTTCTTCATAGTTATTTTGCCTCTTCATTTCTACTTTGTAAAACAAGGTTATGTGATTGAAAATTACACAAAGCCCACCCACCCATGATCATTTTCTTGTTTGTTTCTCTCTCTTCCACAAAAACCCACAGAAGGATATCACATCTTAAGTCTGAGACAGTGTACCTATTTTTATTTTGAGCCAGGAAAAGAAGGATTAAGTTGAATTTTAGCTATCAGAGTATATGTTTGCCAGTGCTTGAGAAAAAGCGGGATGATTCTATTTCTCCAACCCAAAAGAGACAGTTTGGATTCCACTATTTCACAGAGCACCTATAGGTATTAACTGTTTTTGTGCTTAGTGTTTACCAGTGATTAAAATGCATTTGGGTTCATTATCTGATAGTATTTTTGCAAACCAGAATTATACCAAGTTAAATTTATTTTCCTCATGGTTTTAATTGTGAAGTTTTATTTTTTAGTCATGTCTTAAGCACTTCATTATTCTTCTTATTATGACAAACAGTGTTTTTCATCAGAAGTGCAGAGTGATTTAAACAAAGACTGAGTCAAGTTAATGTGGTTACAATTACAGTAATTTTTATTTTCTTTTATTAAGTACATTTGTCTTTTTTTTGAATGTTCCGTTATTAAAGATTCAAACAGGATTGATGAGAAGCGTGTGCAGTTGTTTCTCAGATTGGAAGTTTCATAGGTGTCTGACTCATTTGCTTTTCCTATGGCTGGAACATTGCTTGTGAATATAAGCATAAATTGACAGGTAGAGGAAATCCAGGTGAAATTAGAATGGTTAAATGGAGAAAGGCTGAAACCCTTGCGTATGTGTCATTTTATGTTGTTAATGTACTTGACAGTTAGTATTAGTCTTTACTGTCTGGCCACAAAGACTTTCAGTATACTGTCAGTATCAACTAAAATTATTTATTGCAAGAAATTTGATAGCTTTCTGCACATTCCAGTAATAGCACAAGCCTGTGATTATAGAACTTTGAGGGTTTTAGGGCATGTTTGAATATTTTTCTCTGTGATCATATAATTAACTGATGAAATACACCAGGCAGGTAACAGCATACACCACTTTTCAAGGTGTGAAATTGAGGCTTAGAGGAATTAGTTGATGTATTCAGTATCACTTGCCTAGTAACTAGTAGACATGAAATTTGGATTCTGATCTTAGAACTCCAAGATCAGTGCTCTTTCAAGTTTTTCATCATCATTTAATCTTACTGTTTTCTCTGCAGTAGGATTATTAAACAAATTTTAAGTTCTAGAAGAGAAGAAAAAGTAGACTTTTTTGTTGTTTTTATTGCTGTATAGCCCATGTGTAATAAAATATTTGTTGAATGAATAAATGAACTGTAGTCATTTTAAATTTTAATATATGATGTATTACTTTTGTTAAAAGTGCCTGATCACAATTCTATCACTTGATGTTTATTTCACCAATTTTACTTAAAGTATCATTTACTGTCTTAGATTTGTATTAACACCTAGAAGAGAGTTTACTTTTATCCTCCTCTTTTATTATTATTCTCAAATTAAGATGTTATTTTCAATTCCCGGCATATGTGAAAGCTACTTAAATATACTTCAGTCCAAAATACAATGGCCAGACATTCTACTCTACCCAAATATCCTGGGTAAGAAAAATACCAAGAAATAGTCTTTCCCTAAGACATTCTTCTTGGGGGTCCTCAATGTCATGCCAAGACATAGAATCCTGCATTTTATAAAGCTTTAACCAGAATACCCCCCATATGACACTGTGTAGCATAGCTAGGCTTTGTGAACATGAAATAAGCTTTATGTGATTTCCAGTACTTCCGGAGTTATGTTAGTTACATTTCGAAAACAAATTATAATGTGAAAAAGGAGAAGGGCCATACTTAATGGTCATACTAAGTTTCAGCAAGAAATTTTTCTAGGTTGAATTCTATATCTGAGTTTTTATTTTCACTATTTTGTCCTTATGTATTTTATAACTATTTAAATATATATTTAACTTTAAGAAAAGGGAAAATCTCTTTTGCCAACCAAGACATGTTGGGTTAAAGATAATGTGGAACACAATAAAATAACCTAGTAACTCTGATCAGGAGTTAAAACGACAAGAGAGTAAATTGATGTGCTGAAAGCTTAAAGTGTTCTGTTCTCTTATCACATCTGTGATAATTAGATCCTAAATCTTCTATTTCAGATGAAAATGCATTATCCCTCTCATGTACTTTTCTAAATAACTGCTTTTTTGAGATATAATTTACATACCATAAAATTCATTCTTTCAGTGTGTACATTCAGCAGTTTTCAAATATATCAGTGTTGTATAACCATCACCACTATCTGATTTTAGAATATTCTCATTGTTGCAAAAAAAAAAAAAATGTCATACTTCCTGCCCCCTACTTCTCCTTTCCATCAGCTCCTGGCCAAAACTGATATATTTTCAATCTCTATGGATTTTCTTATTTTAAAACTTCTGTATAAAAAGCATCATACAATATGTTGTCTTTTGTATTGGCTTCTTTTATTTTGCATGATGTTTTCAGAATGCATCCATGATATAGCATGTGTCAAGTACTTTGGTTTTTTTTAGTGCTGAACAATATTCCATTGTATGGCTCTATCACATTTTCTTTATCCAGTCATCCACTGATGGAAATTTGTGTTGCTTATACATTTCTTTTTAGCTATTATCAATAATGCATCTATGAATATTCATGTACAAGATTTTGTGTGGAAATGTTTCCTGTTCTCTTGAGTTTATACCTAGAAGTGGAATTGTGTTAGTTCCTGTTCCCTCACTTATCTTCAATCTAGTTGTTCTATCCATTATTGAAAGTGGGGTATTCAAGTCTCCAACTATTATTATAGAACCGTCTATTTCTTTTCTTTTTCTTTTTTTTTCTTTTTTTGAGATGGAGTCTTGCTCTGTCACCCAGGCTGGAGTGCAGTGCATGATCTCGGTTCACTGCAATGTTTGCCTCCTGGGTCAGGTGATTCTCCTGCCTCAGTCTCCCAAATACCTGGGATTACAAGTGTGCACCACCATGCCTGGCTAATTTTTGTATTTTTAGTAGAGGCAGGGTTTTGCCATGTTGGCCACGGTGGTATTAAACTCCTGACTTAAGTGATCTGACCGCCTTGTCCTCCCAAAATGCTGAGATTACAGGCATGAGCCACCATGCCCAGTCTACTTCTTCTTTCAGTTTCATCAAATTTTTGCTTCAGATATTTTGATTGTCTTCAGATATTTTGATTGTTATTAGGTGTGTAAATGTTTACAATTGTTATATCTTCTGGCTATATTGAACTTTTTGTTAATATATAATGTCCTTCTTTATTTCTTCTATCTGTTTTTGATTTAAAGCCTATTTTGTTGATATAGGTTCTCCTTAACTTATTATGTAGTTATATCATAGTAAACCCATTGTAAGTTGAAAATATTGTAATTCAAAAATGCATTTAATACATTGAACATTGTAGCTTAGCTTTGCCTTCACCTTAAATATAATCAGAACATTTACATTAGCCTACAATGGGGCAAATCATCTACTACAAAACCTATTTTATAATAAAGTATTCAACAGCTCATGTATTTTATTGTATACCTTACTGAAAGTGAAAAACAGGAGGGTTATATGAGTACTCAAAATATAGTTTCTATTAAATGTGTGTCACTATTGCACAATTGTAAAGTTGAAAAATTATAAAAGTCAAACCAACATAAGCGAGCCATCCCACTATCTTCTTTTGGTTACTATTTGCAGGGAATATTTTTATCCATTCTTTCACTTTCAACCTATTTGTCTTTGAATTTAAAGTGAGTCTGTGGTAGACAGCATATATCCATTCTGCCAATCTCTGTCCTTTGATTGGAAAAATTTAATCTATTAATATTTAAAGTAATTACTGATGACAGACCTACTTCTGTCATTTTGTTATTTGTTTTTCATATATTTTTTTTTGTATA